AAAGAATTAATCTGCTTCTACCTTATTGTTCCAATTGGAATGAATGTACTCAGAGGTTGATTAAATATTTTTTCTTCTGACCCCGGGAAACTATGTCCAAATCCTTAAGTAATTACATTCTTAATACAAACACTTCTCATTTTCTTATACTAGCTGAAAAGGCAGGATAGCTTTCAACCCCCCGTTTTTTCATTTGTGCGATGGTGACTTTAAATTGAGCTTTAAGCACTTTGGTCACTTTTAACTAGCTTAGTTTAGAAAGCATAACATTTCAAAGTGGTTTATTTCGTAAAACTCTGAATTCTTTGATAGCTTATGAGATTATTTAGAGGCCAGAAATAAGCTTGTACTTAGAAAAAAAATGTTTTAATTTAATCTAAAACATTGATTTCAAATGATGAATAGAAGTTAAAATGTGCACATTTAGGGTCTTTCTGTGAGATAAACTACGTATTTAAAGAGTTAAAAAAAATCATTGTGTAAGCAGCTATTACCTTCAAAGAATATTGTGAAAATTTAGAGACTTTGGACAGTCGTACACTGTTAACAGTTAATAGAATTTTGTATGTACTTCATTTTTATATAGCTCCATCACTCCTGTAGATTGTGAGTTATCTGTAGGCACCCATTTGTTCATCTTTTTATTCCTAGTGCCTGTCACGTGGTAAGGATTTATTTAATATTCATTGACTTAAAATTTTTTAATTGTCAGCATCATCGTTCAATCAGACACTGGGTTCAGGTAGTTGTTGATGAATCTGCATGGAATCTGGTAATAGAACACCTGGGTCCGCTTTAACCTAAAGACTTAGAGGTTGAAGCCTGATTACCTCCATCCCCACCCACAGTACTTTGCCTGTGCTTGTTGGCCAGCTAGCATATAGTTCTACCTTAAATCAGAGAAGGGTGTCATTCAGATGTTTTAGGTCTTAGTTTGTTTGTAACACAAGATGATTCTCATTTTTTTGCTAGACATTCTTGGGATTCTCTTTTATGTTCTGACATCACAATAGTCAAGATACATCATTCCATTTTTATTACTGTTTCCTTATTCACGTTAGTAATATCTTTATATCAAATTCAGAATCCTAGAAGAGTTGAGAAAAAAAGCGAAAAATTTCTGCAAATGAAGAGTGGTGATGAGGGGGAATTATAAAAGATCTATCAGACATTCATATATAATATAAAGCTTTAATAGTTAGAACTGTGTGCCACATGAAGAGACCGATGAGTATAACAGAATAAATAGAAAGCTCAGGAAGAGATCTCAGTATCTATAGGGATTTAGTAAGTTGTCAATGAGGCATTTTAAATCAGTGAGGGAAATGAGAATTGTTCAAAAAGTGATGCTGAGGCCACTAAGTAAACATCTGTAAGAAACTAGGTTGGATCCTTATCTTACACCTTGTAACAAAATAAATTCCAGGTGGAACATAAATGTAAATATAAAATTATGGAAGCAGAAAAGTACTAGAAGAAAATACAAAAGTATGTTTTTATAACTTTTTTTAGTTATTTGGAAAAACTCAGATCCATTTTTAAAAAATGATAAATTTGATCATCTATCAAATTTCTACATGGTGAAAGCGTGTGACATACACAGTCAAAAGACAGATAAACTTAAAAGATATAACATCTTTTACAGATTAAAGGTTAATATATAAAGTGCTCATTAATATAGGAAGAGTTTTTTCAGTTCATAAGACCAGCAGTCTAACAACAAAGTGGGCCAACTTTATGAAAAAGAAAATACATATCGTCTTAAATGTACGGAAGATACATAATACAAATTGAAACCACATTGAAATGCTACTTTTTAGGTTGGCAAAGATGGAAAGTTATGATATCCTTCTGTCTTGGTAAGGGTGTGAGTCCAAATCCTTGGCAAAATGTTTTTTTTTTTAATCTTCTAGATTTAGGCATTCTAGCAGATATGCAGTGGTAATTTGTTATAGTTTAAATTTGCATTTGTTGTAACTGATGATACAGAATATCTTTTCACGTGCTTTTAGGCATTTATACATATTTGGTGAAGTGCTTAAGTCATTTGCCTTTCATAAAAAACTTGGATTATGTTCTTATTGATTGTTAGATTCTTTATGTGTTTTGGATTTAAGTCTATTCTCTAATGTTTTGTCAGTATTTTCTCCCAGTGGTCAGCTTGCCTGTTTCTTTTCTTAATTGTTTTTTGAAGACAGTGTATAATTTTGAAGAAGTACAATTCATCAGTTTTTTCTTTTATGATTAGCACTTTTTGTTTATTAAAAAAAACTCTGTATACTCCAAGGTCAAGAAAATTTAGTCCTTTTCTTCTAGAGGTTTTATATCTTTAGCTTTTGTATTTAGCTTTTTTTTCCTTGAGATTTTCTTCTTCTTCGTCTTCTTTTTTTTTTTTGAGACAGAGCCTCAAGCTGTCCCCCTGTGTAGAGTGCTGTGGCATCGCAGCTCACAGCAACCTCCAACGCCTGGGCTCAAGCGAGTCTCCTGCCTCTGCCTCCCAAGTACCTGGGCCCACAGGTGCCCGCCTCAACGCCTGGCTATTTTTTGGCTGCAGCCATCATTGTTGCTTGGCGGGCCCGGGCTGGATTCGAACCTGCCACCTTAGGTGTATGTGGCTGGCGCCTTAGCCACTTGAGCCACAGGCGCCGAGCCTTCCTTCAGATTTTCAAAATGATCTATAACCCAGAAGGGCAAAAAAAGATTGATAATTACTACTTTGGGACATTGTCTTAATTTTTCAGATTTGTTAATAAAGTGGATATTATCACATTGTGCTATCCTTTCCCCTAGTAAAACACTTTCTGAATTTAATGGAGAGAATGACATTGCTTTGGATAAGATACAGACAGTAGAATATCTGGTTTTATTACACTTTCTAGGTAAATTATTAATTTATTTCATTAGAGGATTAATTAGAGGATTAATTAATCCTCTATTGTGAATTTTAGGTTAGAAAAATGTGTGGAGCACCTTGTGGCGCCTTTGGGTTGTGAGGCATCAGCAACAGAGTGAACACGCTAGGAAAGTTAGAGTCAGAAGCTTGAGTTCTGGTCTTCACCTAGGTGACTCCTGTTGGAATACAGGACAGAATTCTCCCTCTCTTCATTCCATCTAAACACCCATACGTGATATCTGAGGTCACGGCATCTCCCAACCTGCCTCCCTTACCTGCAGCGTCCTATTCTCTCCATTATTCAGAGTTCCCTCTCTCTGTTATTCAGCCCACCCGACTCCGTCTTTGTTCACACTCTTCCCTTTATCTAGATTGTTCTCGGTTCCTTTTCCTTGACTTACTAGTCAATCTTTCTGTTCTCTGTCTTTGTTCACAC